AAAAAAAAAAAAAAAAAAAAAAAAAAAAGAGAATTAAAGCAAAGCAACTTGATGGAGTGCTTAATTGAAGAAGATCATGTCTCATGCTGCAATATCTTTAAAATATTCAAACTTTCACCTGAAAAACAAAATAAATAAATAAATAAATAATAAAAAGCCTCTCTTTTTGACAACTTCAAAATTATATTCACTTTGCCTCCACTCAAAATTCTTTATGTAAACACATAAATTCCGCAACTTATGTTTTTCTCTCCTTAATTTACTTCCACAATTTCTTCAACGAGCCCATCTTGTCATGTTGTCCTCTTTGACCAAATCTTCTCGATCGAGATGTCTTTTTTTCGTCTAGTTTGTTTAAGACGATTAAATTTGTGTTCTTATTATGTCTTTGAATCTTAAAGATCCATACTTTAATTTTGTAAGAAGAAGAGATGCATGCATTCGAAGATTATTTGGATCTTACATTTGACATTTGATCATATTTTGTGAGTGTCGGCATACGATTATATTTATTGGGTTTCTCAAACGACCTTAAAACTTAACATAAATATCAATAATATGCATGTAGGGTCATCATTATCATTTCATTCAATTGAATTTTGTACGTTTTTTACTGTTTTAGTATGATAACAAATTTATGTGATTTTGTCTCTCTTAAGTCTAAACTCGTATAATTTAAATTTGTTGGACCCATATCCAAAAAAATCTTGATATCAATAGATATTAGGGGGGAGAAAATAAAGGTAACGACTAAAGTGGTTTGGTTCGGTTAGTTGAAATTGAATGGGATTAGTTTGAAGATGTGCATAAAGTGGTCAATTCCATCCATTCCCTTTAGGTCTAATAGATGTGAAACTAATTTGAATGGCAACATAGATTTGCTTTTGAAAAAATTGTGTGGGGTATGAGTAAAAGAAGATGAATTGGGATATGATTAAGGGGAGAAGAAAGTAGAGGAGGAAATGTAGTGTAAAAGAGGTGGGTTTAATTAACCAATCCACCGACCTTTTTGTGGAATGGGATGGCCAAAGCAAACGAAGCAATAATAATTAAGAATGGTTAGGGTTTGAGGGAAAGCCATAGCCAAAGCCAAAAGAGAGGAGATTATTGCATGCCTTTGGGTTTGGCCATTGGGTCAATTTTGTTCCTGATTGCCGGTTGCTGATATCCACAATACTATGTACGTCCTGAAATTAAGGCGTGCCTATGCAAAGACTTTACCCAAAAGGAGAAACAAACCAAACCCAAAAACTTATGTTTTAACACCTTTTTGGACTAATGTTTTAACCTTTTTGGATTTGGTTTGTAAGGTTGATTTCTTTAGATTTCAATCACCCTAACTTTTTGTAAAGATTCGGTCGAGTGGGAGTCTAAAGAGTCTTATCACCCACCGCTAGTAGATTTTGTCCTCTCTCTTTGAGCTGATTACTCATCGCAAGTAAATATTATCCTCCTTAGGTTTTTCCTTGCACTTCAAGGGTTGATGTCTCACTGCTAATAGATATTGTCTTTTTTGAACTTTCTCTTACCCTTCTATAGTTCTCTTTCTTTCAAGGGTTGATGAACCACTGC